AGTCTTTTTTTTGATGAACTAAAGAAGCAGAATATGTTCAACTACTTTCTGTAGTGGACTGCATTAATAAATTGACAAATACCCACACTCATGCACTATTTTTAGATGAAATTTGCTTTTTCTAAGAGCGAATATTTCCATGATACATACCTTGTTCTATGATAATGTAAAAAGTAACGAATTTGTTATATTTATTCATCTTTTATACTAATAACACATACTCTTATCTTATAATATCTTTATTGTCATTGCACAACTGGATGAAATTACTAGCATTAATACAACTGCAATGTTCGTTTGTCGTTCAAATAAATAAAGAATGATACATTCTATACTATATCAATCTGATGAGGCTTGTGTATTTTTCGTTGATGAGGGCGTCTCTGGCTGATGTGAGTCTGTTTCTTATTCCCTTCACACTGACACCCACACCTTCAAATTTTATCAAACACTAAATCTTCTTCTCGGATAATTTCTATTTTATTTAATTCAAATTACAAAATATTTTCTTTTCTTATTTTCGGTAAAACTCAATAAAATACGGAGAATTTAACATTTATTTATTCGAATTTTTTAATAAAAAATATCAAATTAAATTCAATTTTGAAGAAAGAGTCTCAAAAGACTTTTCTTCGTTCTTTAATTCAACAAAAAAATTTTCTTTTTTTCAAAATCAAAATTTCATTCATAAAATTATTTCAAATTTTTGAATTCGATGATTTCCCCAATCAACAACATAAAGATTTCTTTCATCATCAAAAGATAAACCCATGGGACCATTCAATTGATTTGATTCATTTCCTTCACCATTTCCACCAACGACAATTTCACCTTCTTCTTTTCCTTCACACCAACGCATTATTCGATCATTCGCAACATCTGCCACATAGATTTGATCCAAATCATCAACAAGAACTCCTTGAGGATGAGACAATTGATTGAGATTTGCTCCTTTACCATTTCCTCCAGCCACAATTACTCCTTCTTTTGCATCTTTTCTCCATTTCATTACACGATGATTGTTCTTATCTGATACATAAAGAGATTGATCTTCATCAACAAAGATAAAAGTAGGAGTATTGAGCTGATTAAGTTGATCTCCTCTTCCATTTCCACCTGCCACTACAATTCCTTCATTGTTATATTCGCTCATTTTCCATCGTCTCACTTCATTCTTCTCATCATCAGAAACATAAAGAAACCCATGCTTACCCATTACCAAACCATAACAGTTAATATTGCGAATGAGAATTTGTTGCTTTTGATTCAACCATCGAATCACTCGTCTATCGTCGTGATCAGCAATGATGACCGAATGATTTCGTTGATCAATAATCACATCTGTTGGTAGATTCAATTGATCTATTCGATATCCTACGCCATTTCCACCTGCAATGATTTGTCCTTTCTTTGCATTACAGTTCCATTTAACAATGCGATGATTCCCACAATCAGCAATGAAAATATTTTTCTTTTTATCAATATAGATTCCAAAAGGGCTATTGAGTTGATCTAGTCCTTTTCCTTGTCCATTTCCACCAGCCACAGTGATGCCATTTTGTTTCCATGTGTTGAATTTCGGTTCTAGAAAATGATGAAAATAAAACATTTTAATAAAAAGGAGAAAATTTGTTTTTAATGGAAGGAAAAAAGCAAAAATTAATTTTGAATGAAATGCTTATAAAAATATTTAATGAAAAACCAAAGAGTGTAGATATCGCAATATGTGTAGGTAATGAATGAGAAGAATACCCACAGCTACATCCACACCTCCACTCTCAAGATGAACTCTATAAAGTCCATCAAAATCCTTTTATGTCGACAAAAAATAACGCTCTGATGGTGTGTTTATATGTAAAAGTCATTTTCAATAATTTTTTGCTTTGAAACAAAGTCTACATGTGATAAACAGGTGTTTTAGTCAGAATCAACTCATTTAAATGTCGAGGTATCGTTTTCTGCACTCATTAAGATCAACTATCTTAATTTAGTTTTCGAGTTTCCGTATGTGTGTTTAATTGAAAGAGCAATATAATTGATAATTTTAACAAACATGCAAAAAGTATTGTACTATAATTCTAAATTTTGAAAGAATGAGTCTTAGCCCCTTAGATGTTTGTCCATTTACTCGTTCTCTCTTTTGTTCTTATTTTCAACCAATCAGATGGGAATACGCATTTTCTCCTTGAGTCATTCACACCCACGTCTATTTTCAAGACAGTTACTACCATAGTAGGTCTTTACTCAACACTGGCAACGTATTCCATTTGTTAGCATACCACACTGTGAAACAATCTTACCAGATGCACCAACTTTCGGTTCTGGGCTCGATACTGATGTTGTTGTGGCTACTTGCTTTGATATGATTTTTGATTCATTGACATCATCCGTCACTTTTGGGCTCGAAGCTGCTGTTGTTGTGGTTGCTTGCTGTGATATAATTTTTGACTCATTGGCATTATCTTCCACTTTCGGGCTCGACGCTGCTGTTGTTGTGGCTGTTTGTTTTGATATGATCTTTGACTCAGTGACATCATCCGTCACTTTCGGGCTCGACGCTGCTGTTGTTGTAACTGCCTGCTTTGATATGGTTTCTGATTCAGTGACATCATCTTCCACTTTCAAATTTTTCAGTTTTCCGGCAGATAAATCAGCAGAGCCACTTGTACACGACACTGGGATGAGCATTGGTTCATCGGAGTGAACTTCTTGCAATTGAATAATCCGTAGACCGTGACCTTGATTGAGAATACCTTTCACTTGAAACTCAGTAGCAGCAAGCAATAGTACTTCGTCTTCAGATGGAAAATACGAGTGTTTTCGAATATCTCTAGCTGAATTACAATGAATGGTAAACATTGTTCGTGTACCTTCCATGCCTAAAAATTGTTCTGATTGGAGAACTTTGATGGAAGTTGTACAGGAAGAAAAACCCCACCATATGAACGTTTCATCTTCTTCAAATTGTTTGCTTAAATCTAATTTGACACCTCGAAATACCGTTAGATGAGGAATTGGTGGAAGACGAAATAATGCTCCAAGAAAAAGACGAAATAATGCTCCAAGAAAAAGACGAAGAAAGAGAAACCATGGTTTAAGATTTGTTCGATTTTTCGATCTTAGAGTAGCATTCAAAGCGCAGTAAAGGCATTTATCCGACGGTTCCCATCCCATTGAATAGAGCATGATCGAAGCTGATTCATCTTGAGTCAAATTATCAGCCGGCTGCTTACATTTGTTTTTGGCCGTACGTGCGTAACTTTTCACTCTTGGTAGTATGTGTACGAGCGGTTCAAGTGCTTCTTCAAGTGAAACAATAGGCATTTCTTCGTAACCGCTGATGGGCATAAGAAAATCCATAGGTTCTTTTGGAATATCAGTCAAGCGTAGAAGACGTTGAGCAAAATATTCATCTTCACTACCTGTTGCCATAATGAGCACAAATGACTAATTTAGATATAAGTTCTAAACGACGGATACGTATCTGAAAGTTAATCGAACAGGATTTATAGGTTAATCAGAAAACGTTATTAACTAAAATAGGAAAACAAAAGAACATTGTTAATTCAAGTCGACCTATTTTATACTACACACAAATAGAAATGGGTGGATGAGGGTGGGGGTGTCCGAAAACAAGAGATACCCACACCCTAAAATAGTTAATGGAATTATTAGAAATTTATTTTTGTTTTCCGAATGAATTGAATTTCATGATTTATTTATATTTGTATATAAGATGGAAAAAACGAAATCTTTTATCTCTTTCTTTCGATAAAATGTTGAATAATCTTCACAATCAAGAATATTCGAGATATAGATGATGTTTAAATTCTTATTACATCTTTCATATGTTGTATAACTAAAAGTTTAACATACGTATATTTTTAGAGGAAATATAAGTCTGTATTCAAATGTATCAACTCAGTTCTCTTCTTTGTTCAAATTAAAATTCACTACATGATCTACAAACTATGACCAAAAATAATCGATTCTATCTATAACAAGTTATTCAAAATAATTAAACCATTACCCACTGGAATGATAACTAATTCAGATGATTATCAACTGAAATGAGTAAATGCAAGATTAAGACTGTAGATGTGAGTGAAATAGAATAACCACATCCTAACCATCTACGCCTATATTCGTCTCACTTTATAATGATTCAATTATTTAAAACCAATTCTGATAAGTAAGATCGTTTTTTTCTGATCATGATTGTTTTTTAGTCATGCATTCGGGATATTTAATACGAGTTTTTTTTATAACAATTAGATAAAAAGAATTGAATTCTTATAAAAATCGCAAATCTTCAGCTAAACTTTAGTCCAGGATCGATACATGACTACTATCTATTGACATAAATTTGTAATCTATCTCTATTGTTTATATTATTTCAAAAAAAATATTTTTATATTTAAAACAAATCCTCATTCAATGCTCGGACAGACAAAACACTGCAACAATACATTTTCACATTGAAATAATACCGAAACATATAATCGAGTAGAAAAGAAATTTTAGTCTTCAGGTCTTGCTAAAGAAATTCATTATTATCTCATTGATACGATATATGTAAGTACATATAGGAGAAATCACTCCACTGTTGAATCTATACAATTTTTAAAATCAAATCAGAGTCCATCGACAGTTTGACTTGAGCACAAATGTTAACATGAGTGAGAAGACTCAATGTAAAAATATGAGTATGATTGTAGGTCTATCTATTCTTTAGCTATATCATTATCTTCACTTTCATTCAATTCTATCTTCTTTCTCAAGATAATCGTCCTATAATATTCTCTATGCTTATTTCTCATATTATTTCAAAACACTTCTAACTTACCAAAATGAAACTATTTCAAACAATTGAATTTCTAAACTTGCGATGTTTTGTATAATTATTTTGATATAAAACGAGAATTAATTCGTATGTCTCAGTTTGAATTTCTTTTTCGGTGAATAAATTCTTCTGACTGTTTTGTAAACGAACCACATTTTATGTTTCGTGTATTTCTTCCGATTATACATTTGATCTGAAAAAGAAATATGGAAAATCTTACAAGTGAAGAGGAGAAGAAAAAGAACAAAAAAAAAACATTTTTATTTTTGAGTAAATGGATTTTTTGTGCTTCATAACGAAAAAACATTGAAGAATGATCAATAATTAAACTGAAGAAAAATAAGATTTTTGAAAGTTAAAAATAATTCTAACTCGCTTTTTATTTTTTTTTGTTACACTTGTTTTTCTCCTATTGCATCTAAACAACTTCTTTACTGTTAGGACCTAATGATCATCAGTTTATGGAGAAAAGTAAAGAAAAAATAATTCCAACTAAAAATAACATTTTTAACAGTTCCATTTTGTCAATTAAGAAAAATCTTTGGAAAATAAAAATATTGATAAATACAATGATTTGCTTAAAAAAAAATATATCAAAATAAATAATTATAAAATATAGTTGGATTTAATCATAAAACCAAAAGTATTGTTTATAATTGGATATCTCAGCGTAGATACATAAAGAGACATTTCAGCTTTTCTCTTAAAAAATTCATTATGAAAAGCACGGGAGAAATATTAATACCAAATATCTACAATGATTGAAATTAATGAACTTGGGGATGTGAGTTTGGTTGAGAATAAAGGTAACACTCATCCACACCCACACTCACACTACACCCACACCCACCCACACCCACACACACACTCACACCCACCCACACCGCTCTCACCCGTATCCTATTTGTTTGTAAAGGATTTTATATATTACTTGTGCACAGTAAATAAATATGACACATCTTATTTCAACATGTGGACTCGCTTTCGAAACAAATTTCATATCTTGGCTGGTTGATAAGAGTTTCAAACATTATAAATAACAGTCTTCAGATGCTTTTTTTTATATATTCCTGTTTTGACGAAGAATACAAAGATGAGTAATAATGGTAAGAATCTACTTAGTTCTTTTTTTGATTGTAATAGCTGACTTTGTCTAAATAAATCTCATAAAAAAATATAAACATATGACTCAATTCATTTATTTATTTATGTTTTCTCTTAAGCCAATGAAAATCAAGATGCTGCTCCATTAGAGGAAATTAAGTGTAGCGATTGTTGTCGTGTCTTGTTAAAGAGACTGAGCAACTTTGTTGTCATTCGATTACTTGCAGCTATATTCACATTCCAAGCAGGCATTATGTGGCTAGGATTTGTAGCCAATGATGTTCTTCAATTACTTTTCCTTCCTTTCGAGACGTCACGATTGAGCTCGTTTGTTGGCTCCTGTTTTATGATTTCTGGCATTGTCTTATTGTGAGTTTTTATAATTCTAATATATCTTCAATTTCTGATTTTTATTTAGTTCAACTCACTACTTTTGGTTTACTATTCAGTTGGCTGCTTATTTTTTTTCTTCGGAAAAAAAAATCGAAGAAAAGCATTCGTCTCAATCCAACTCATCCTCATTACTGCTGTTCATTCCCTCTACAACTCGTCCAGAAATTCGACAATGTTTTCGCGTAGCTATTTTTTTATGCTATATTCTCTATGGTATTGTTTACTGGAAACAAGATCACAGTGTTTTCAATGCAGTTATCGCACCTACCGGACAGGTTAATCTAGTTACTTGAACTTTTCATTTATATATTATCTTATTATTAGGTTCCATTGGCACTAATGTGGTTTCTTCATATTCTTCACATAATTGCAAACTACTGGTTCGTTATCTCCGAATGCAATACATGCCGTAATAATTCCTCGAAAGCAAAGTCCAAGAATAAGATACATACAGAAAATAATAGCGCTCCAATTAACAAAATAAATGAAGCCTCCAGTTGGAAAGAAATTTCTTTTGCCATAATCTTCGGAGTAAGTATATTGATATACATTGATTTAACGAATGGTGTACAGAAATTAAAGCTTTCTCTTATAATATGAAAAAGAAAAAGAAAAAGAGTTCGAGAACAAGTCACTTTGTTTTAAATGTATCTTGTATAGGCTGTTATTCCATTACTATGTCAACTTATAGCAATATTGCTACCATTTGGAAGCATTATTTGGGCCATCATGTGGTGCATCTGTATTTCATGTTTTATTAGTCGATTCTGGCTATATTCCTTGTACGCGTGGTTCATAGATACCAAAAATAAAAGACCCAAGAATAATCGATCTAAAAAATCTTTATTTCTTCTTACTACAAAACAATTATTTACTGCAGAAATCGGTGGATTGGAAGAATTTGTTGCATTAAAAGCTTCTTTAGTATTTTTTCTAATGGCTTTGGCTGCATCTTTAACGTACATTCAACAACAGAAAGATCAATCGTCTTCAAAACTGAAGGGATTCATTATATTTATAATCATCATCATTTGTTCGTATCATTCATAAAAGATTTTCGTTTTATTTTTTATTTATTTCAGGGATGATTGAACTTTTTCTACTCTTACCCTCTTCTGTACAATCTAAAAAAGAGCTACAACGTGTCAAAACTCTTCAGGTTATCGTAATTAATATGTGAGTAAAACGAGGCAAATCAAATGTAGAGATATGAACAAAATGTTTTTAGACTAAATTTGATCAATAGTGTAATAGTCTTCATCGCTCTAATCATAGTTCTTATCGATTATCGACCAACATTCCTTTTGGTTGTAGTACGTCTGCTACCAATATTGTTCTATTACTCTGCAACATTCATTTATTATTTTCGACATATATGTTACGACTGTCGTTCTACTGATATAGACAATAGTGGTGTGACAAAGTGGATTACTATGCATTTCAAAATCAGTCTCTACCCGCGAATTTTCTTCAGTGAGTCATGTTTCACATTCTAATTTCATTCATTCTTTCATCTATTAGTTATGTCATCCTTACTGATGCTAATAAGTTTCGGAGGACTGATTCTTGGTGCATCGATTTATTATGGTACACAAACTGAGACGATTGTCAGCAGCAATACAACTCTGAATGGAAATTATTTAATCACTAATGATCAAGACAACAAGTTAGATTTGCTCTATTTTCAAAATAAAATAATAAGAGATAATATTTTATATAGTACTCAAATGGAAATCTGCAATTGGCAAATTGCTAATCTCAATATTCAAGATATGGTTCTTTTTGCTACGCTAGCCTATAAGTATGCGTTTATATTTTCATCTCATTCTCAAAACTTTTCTTTTATAGACCAGTAGATAATGTTAAACAAGAGTTAAATGCTTTTTATAACAACACAAATCTTAATTTTACATTAGTCGAATCTTTAAGTCAATACTATGCAATCGGTTATGGAAATGTTACCTATTACACGGTCACTACAAATAATGTCGTTATCGTTGCTATTCGAGGGACTGCTCTAAATTATGAGGCTTTTGTCAACGGTGATATATGGATAGAATCAGCCGTCTATCAGGTAACAAAAATATTCTTTCACTAAAATAGATTTATATGTAACAGTTTTACAGCTAATATCATTATTATTTCCATGGTCTAAACTCTTTCCTGATTACATAAGTTCACGTATAATTCGACATATGTCAATCATTGATAGGCTAGCTCAAGATGGAGAACAACATCGATTGTATGTACAGAAGGTAATCGATGTTCTAAAGAAAGTTGACCAAGTTTACGGAAAGACACATACATTCATTGTCGTTGGACATTCTCTAGGTGAGATTGAATTTAAAATCCAATTTTTCAGCGATTACTCATTGATGAGTTTTGAATAGGAGGTGGATTAGCTAAATTAGCTGGTATTGCCTTAAATACAACCGATGCTCTAGTTAGTATTAGTGGTCCGGGTATAACTTATACGCATGCTAAACTATATGAAACTAGCCATGTTGATATGCAATCAATCAATCGACGTACAGTTAATCTCTACAATGATCGAGATGTTGTTCCATGGATAGATAAACAAGAAGGTCTAATTCAATTAATAACATGTCCAAAAACATTTTCAAATCTACAATGTCATTCTATGCCACCTATCTTATGTAATGTTATCAAAATGTGTGGTAATACAAGACAATTTCGCGTCGACAAGAATATTTGTATGCCAAAATAGTTCTGTGTCAAGTATAAAAACAAAATTTTCAGTTGATTTTTTATCTTTTGTACATAATAAAACAAGACTTATTAATTAATAATCTTAATTGGGAGAGTGAGAATATGTGAGTAAATATTTCGTGAATAAGTCATATCATAATACACAATTCTTATTGACTTACACTTGTACGAATATTTACAAATGCTACTATGCAACGAAGAGAAAAAGATATATATTTTCTTTATTATATATACTTCTTTTACTGCATCAACACAAAGGACACCATAGAAAGAATTTTATTATTGATTAATTTATATCATATTGATATTTGTTACTGACTAATATATATATGTATTATTACAAGAGTACTAAAATATAACACTTCCTTACATTAAGTTGTACGTGGATCAAACTTAAATTAATTTTCCATTATCAAATACAAAAATTGAAATATCATGAAAATTACCTAAACTAATCTGTTTAAAATCATTTTCGTTCGTAAATAAATAATTACAAACTACAAATATTTATAGTTGAATCAGAAAAACAATTTTATTTTACTTTAAATATAAATATCCTTTCTCAATATAAGGGGTGAGGGTGGGTGTGGGTAATTGAAAGCTAAATCTAGGTGTGGGTGTGGGTGTAAATGTAAAGTATTTTCAATCATGTCCACATCCACCGAAACCCATCTAGACCAAGGGCGAAACAGCAGAATCCGTGAATCCACTCTGATATAAAATTCTTAAAATTATAAAAATATGGGTAAAAAAGTGAGCTCGGCGTGTAAACTCGAAATTTCGAGCTTATTACGAATCCACATTTTATCGCTCAATTGCGGTCTGTACATCTACATTTGGATTGATCCCACATGTTTTCCATAAAAACTAGATAAATATCAGTATATATTTAAGATTAAATGAAATACCAATTTTTACTTCCGGTAATTAATTAAATATTTCTAATTACTTCTGAAAGCTAATAAAACGCTTTTAATCATTTCTGAAAGTGATTACAGGGGTTTCATTAATTATCAAAAGTAATTAGAATTATCTTCTTAATTACCTGAGTTAATTACAGATATTAAATTAATTATCGAAAGTAATTAGAAGGGTATTCTTGATTAGTGATGCTGATTAATAGTAGTTTTAGAAATCCTAAGCACTTAGATGGCATATTTTGATATAAGATTATGATGCGCTGCTTTTCGTGGTAAAGTGTGAAGTAGACCTCGGACAGCTTACAGTTCCAAGTTCGGAGAAACTGGTCAAAAGAACTGCCAGTACAGTTCTTTGAGAGAAATTAAACTATTCTAATCATTCTTCGATAGGAACTTATCTGTGCCAAAATTCATTTTTTCAATACGAATTAGAATATTGCTTGAAGAGATATTTCAATTTCGAAAGCCACGATAAAATTCGTCAAAAAGAAGTCACCATTTGTATTGAAAAAATAAGTTTTGAAGTAGGTCAGTCCCCATGAGAGAACTGCTGACACAGATCAGTTTCTGTCACAAAAAATATTATACAGTTCCTAAGATCAGAACTAATATGGAATTATCCTATCTAGGGGTGAGTCATTTAGCTTAACTTACAATTGAGTTAAGTTCTTTGACTTTATGCTTTATATTAAGTATTAAGTTTTTTCATTGAAAATCAAAACTTAATATTAAGTGTTCAGTAAACATTTGATACTTGATATTAAATGTTAAGTGAAAACACATAATTGAGTGGAATTAAATTAAGTGACTCACCCTTAGTCCTGCTCCTAGTGTGAAGTGGTGTGGCGTAAACTCGAAATTTCAAGCTTGCGACGATTCCAGTGCACTTTTTTTGGCGTAAAATATATACATAAACAGACTGCTTGTTACCTATCAACTGGTGAAAAAACTAAAATGTCAAACTATTGATTGCTTCGAATACAACAGATTCCTAAAAAAAGATAATTTATGTTTGTATCTAAATCAAGATTTATAAAAATTTTATACAATAGTACACGATACAAACAAAAAAATAGAAGTATCGAATTTTTATAATGGGTTTCAGAAAAATAGGAACTCATTTTACGAAATTTCATAGGACTCCACTTGAATCCAGGTGAATCCATATGGATCCATCTGAATCCACTTGAATCCAAGGAACTGGATTCTGCTGTTTCCCCCTTGTCTACTCTGCAGATACCGCCCTGCTGTGAGAATATGCATGTGATTATTTCTTTCTCGTTCTCACTCAAAAATACGTTGTACACAGGGACAAAAAATGTTACTTGATAACATTCTTTCAAATATTTGACGAAGAAAAGAAAGAGAAACGAACATGATACCATCGCTAAAAGACTACTTTGCATATACCACAAATAAAAATTTCTTGCTTTATCTTGGCGTATGCAAAAAGCAAGACTTATTTTGACGTCTCATCATTTTAAATCAACTAAATTATTAATATGAACGATCATAGAACATCTTCAATTGATTGCCGACGTTCGCAACGATATAAAGCTCAAGATTATTTACTTATTTGGCTTCATAATGATACTAACGAAACAAATGAAGAGTATCAAAACACATTGAAACATCTAAGAAATCTAGTTGATACGATCGATATTTTTATCAATCCAGACGAATGTGTGAATTTTTTTACTGAATTCAATGATATGAAAACATTTCTGATAATAAATGATACAATTAGTGAAGAAATCATTCCTCTTATTCATGATTTACCGCAACTTGATCAAATTTATATATTTTCTCGTACAACTGTGTTGTCTTCTGAATGGATAGGAAAATGGACAAAGATAAAAGGTATTTCTGCGGAAATGACATCTTTATGTGCTACATTAAAACTGATGATTAGACAACACAATCAAGATTCGATTGCTACTAGTGTTATTTCACTCAACGAGATTAATCCAAACAAAAACCTAAATGAATTAGAATCTACATTTATGTATTCACAGATTTTCAAGGATATTCTCTTAAAGATGAATTATAACGATAATTCCATCGATGAATTCGTTCAATTCTGCCAAAAGAATAAGTTTGGATCATCAAAAAATATTGATTTATTCGAAAAAGAGTATCATAATCGATCATCCATTTGGTGGTATACATGGCCAGGTTTTATCTATCCAATGCTCAATTCTAGTCTTCGTACTTTAGAAAGTGATGTGATTATTAAGATGGGCTTCTTTATTTATGATTTACATAAGCAAATTGAACAATTATATAATGAACAACGTGACAGTTATCATGAAGAGTCATTCAAGGTTTATCGCGGACAAGGATTATCTAAAGAACATTTTGAAAAAGTTATCAAAGCAAAAAATGGTTTAATCTCTTTTAACAATTTCTTGTCGACTAGTAAAGTAGAAGAAGTTTCGGTGGGATTTGCGGTTATTGCTTCTACAATTGCTGATACAGTTGGAATACTCTTTGTGATCTATATCGATCCTTCTGTTTCATCAGCACCATTCGCATGTATTGAAAAACATAGTTCTCTCGAATCTGAAGAAGAAATTCTCTTTTCTATGCATACCGTATTTCGTATTGGAGATGTGAAACGAATTGATAATAATGATGAACTCTATCGAATCGAACTTCAACTAACTGCTGATAATGATCAAGAACTTTGTATATTGACTGATTGGTTATCAAAAGATATTCCAGATGAAATCGGATGGAAACGGTTAGGGAATTTATTAATCAAAATCGGTCAATTGGAAAAAGCGGAACAGTTTTATCAAACATTACTTGAACAGACAAGTGATGTTGCTGATATGATACATTATTATGGTCAACTTGCATTTATTAAATATAATCAAGGTGATCGAAAAATGTCGATGTGGTATCATTTAAAGATCTCAGAATTGAGCAAAACAACGAATTCGGGTGATTCCACCGATGAACTGACTATGGTAAACAGAAATTTTAGTGAGGATAACAAAACAATTCTATCCTATAAGAATGATTTAAGACTTGATTTCGGCGAGATTTGTCACTGTGATATCAAATATATCGAATATTCTGAAGAGAGAGAAGTATCTCCGGATACACTTTTATTCTATGAGAAATCACTTGATGATTTCCAAAGAAATTTACGTTTAAAGAATCTTTATCCAACAACTTCCTGTAATCCTTTCGATCCAGTTGATGATCATTTCAAGCAATCATCTCCATTACTTTGGTTTCAAAGGAAAATACTCGAGATTCGACAAAAATGTCTTCATCCAAATCATCCTGATATAGCTCAGTCGTATGCTTCTGTAGCTTCATTATATGAGAAAAGAAAAGATCCTTATCAAGCACGTTCATTTTATCAAAAATCGATTGATATTTGCAAGCAAATTCTTCCCTCAAATCATCCGACTTTATCATGCTTATATCATAATATTGGTATGACATATCAATCCACAGGCGAATATTTCACAGCATTATGCTTTATCAAAAAATCACTTGAAATTGCCGAGAAGACTCTTCCTCCATATCATCTCGATCTGAGTTTCATTTACTTTAACATGGCTGGATTATACGATAAATTAGATGATTATTCTAACGCAATTGTCTATTACAAAAATTCGATTACAGTAAACGAAAAAAATCTTCATATGAAAGATGAGAATTACACGTTTTCTAGTACAAAAGTTGGAAAGATACATAGCACAATGGAACAATATTCCGAAGCACTTATATATTATAACAAAGCACTTACTATTGAAGAACAACTGTGTCCGTTAGATGATCCTCGATTGATTGATTATTATGCAGAGATTGCTTCATTACATCACAAACTCGAAGAATATCCAAATGCACTTCTCTTTTTTCACAAAGCTCTTCACATTGTTGAAAAGCATCTTTCTTCAGAATTTGGAAAATTGTTTACTCTTTATGATGCAATTGCTAGATCATATGAAAAAAATGAAAATTATCCTCAAGCACTTTTATTCTATGAGAAAACACTTGGAATTAGTGAACAAATGTATACTTTAAATCATATCAATTCGGCAGTTTGCTACAATAATATTGGTATTGTCTATATTAGAATGGGTCAGTATTCAAAAGCATTGAGCTATTTCGAACTTGCTTTGCATATGAGACAAATATGTAACCCTGAAGATGATTCACGCTGGAAAGAAATTCAAGATGCTATCGATTATCTGAGAGAGCTTGAAGATGAGGATGTGATTGAGTCCGCCGAGTAGACCCGGATCGGACTGAATTCAAAAAAAACTTATACGATGAAGATTTGTTTCTGTTTTCTTTTCGTTTTCAATTATTTATCTGAATAGAATTTCTCTCGGGAGTGAGGGTGTGTATATCTTGAGGGTGTGGGTGTGGGTGTGGGTGTGGGTATTACATTGATCCCATACGCCCACACCCTCAAGATGGTTTTTAAAAGAACCATTTCAACTTTCATGTGATCATCCTCAATATAAAACATGTACTGAAACTATCGAAGGGTATAAACACGATGTGGGTGTGGGTAGGTGCATCTTATTTATTTCACCTACACCCACACCCCAATTTCAAGTGTCTATCATGCGAAGAGTCTGAAAGGAAGTGCAGATAAGATCACATAAGAATAGTCATAGTTAAAATACACCATTACTTCCACAAAAATTTACGATTTTTTTCCTGTATTTGCGCAATACAACAGCGATACAAAGTAGGTACAATAGACTTTTTCTTTGGCATCTATATTGTATTCAGTCAAATGATATGAAATTCAAAAATTTTCTCTTTCTTTGAAAGTCTATGTTTGCAGTACCACAATGAAACATGAGTTTTTTCGTTGCCTAAAATAAAAGTTAACATACTGCATTATTCATTAAAGTCTGTAATTGGTATGACTTTTCTACTAAATATTATCATAATACGTAGTCACCAAAAATTTATGAGCTTATTTTTAGAATCATTCGACATATATATCATGGTTTCACGAATGCATTTGTTCGAATGAGTGATTAAGATTATTGATATCTCTGAAATTTATGATCTATTAAGGATCTACTTGAATAATGATATATTTCATGTATAAACTTGAAATGAGGTATTAGCATTTAGCATCAAATAAGAATTTCGAGAACATTTATTGTTTAAAAATATAGTCTCTTTTTTTGTAGATGGTTAGGTAAAGAATATAGTTTATTCATATATAATACAGAAAATACCGATGAATTTATATAGAACAAGATTATTTTTATTTTGAAATTTAAGAATTTTCTTTATTCTTTATTCTTTAAATAAAAGTTCAATGACAGATTAGAATTATACTAAGTACACTTAACAAGTATTTCTTTTTTTATTAATTGGAATATTTCTTTGTATTATATTACTTCTTTCTGAAAGACAAATATACATTTAAGATATATTATTTTTTAGTTAATAAATCAAGATTCTATGAAACAGTATGCTTAATATAAATATCAATAAAGATAAAAATGACTAAATAACACTCGTATACCTAACTGCTTTTTTAAACACATTTGAAAATATTTCATGTCTATACAGATAAAAAATAACTGTCGCTCGGGTTTTTATTATTTTGTTGTTTCTTAAGGTAAAAAAATGTCCGATTTGGGTTGTATTTTTTCTAACCGTTACTTTATTGTTGACACTAGTCGAGAATGAGTCACATTCTACGCAGTCGTTATATCGCGCTCTATTTGCTTTTTTCATTTCTTCTAAAGAACGAAAAAGAAACAAAAATAGGTGGGAAAATTCTCAGGATAAAAAGAAAATTCCAATTTCTCTAAGACAAAATCACAGCCACACTTTACATCCTTCTGCCATTTCTGTTCTGCAATTGGGTTTTTTTCTCAGTGTATTTGTTTGTACACGCTCTTTAAAGTCGACGCCGTTCTCACACAACTAGTGCACGTTTGTCGCAAATATATATATAGAAGCTCTGAATTTCATTCGATCTTCATTGCGATAGAACGGTGAGTATAGTTTAACATGTATTACTCTTTCTATTTATTCGATGCATGTTTTTCTATGAGTTATTTGTATCGCTAAGTCTGTAGTATAGGCTATATTTCACAAATAAGTCATATGTATTCCATGTAAGTAGAAGATTAGAGCTTATCTCGAAAATGAGTTGTAGTTTGTTTTCGAATAGTTTTCGCCGAGTTGCAGGTTCAGGTATGGATACGAGTCATCGAAGAGAATGAGTTCATATAAAAACCCCCCAAAGTTGAAGGGATACCTGAGTGAGTTTATGTTGAGCTTTCCGTCAGATGAGAGTTAGTTTGCACAATTCTATAGCATCTTGAGGGTGTGGGTGTGGATGAAGACTGAATACATTCTCACCCACACCCTCAAGAAAGTTTTTTCCTCTTTCTTTTCTTCAGATATCGCCCATTCTTTTAGAAATCTTGCCACATGACATCTACCCCAAATTTGAGCGTATTATATCTTGCTTGTCGAAATAATGATATTGAAACGGTACGAACACTTCTACCAACTATGACTTTGGCTGATATTAACAAAAAAGAATCGAACGGTAGTACAGCACTTCACGCAGCAAGCTATCACGGGCACATAGAGATAATAATTCTACTTCTCAAACGCGGTGCATCGCGTTCCATCTGCAATCAGTGGGGATGTATGCCATATGAAGAAGCACGAACACAAGCCATCAAGGACTTATTCAAACGACAAATCGGAAATACTCGCTTTATTGCTGGATCCGGTGCGACTGAATGGATTTGCTTTGTAAGACTCTTTTGACTGAGATTTCTGAAGGAGTATGACCGTGTTTCCTAGAACACGTTTTTTTAAAAAGATTTATTTCCATGATGAGCCACCCTATGTTTTATTGTTTAGAATGACCAAAACGCTTATGATCGCAGTGTTTTCAGCGGAGTGATGGAAAAAAATCCCTTGGATGCTTGGCGTATTGATTGGATAAAAGAATTTTATGTTGACAAAGAAATGTCTGATATCGAAGGAATTGATGTGATACGAGAATTTTATGAACTAGCACGTACGAATCCACTCTACTTGATTAAAGCTTACAGTGCAGAAACTGATTATTATCGATTACTTAATTTGCATCTGGCTAATACAAATTCGGCCGCCCAAAATAGTCCAATCGATGAAGATGTAAGTCGATGGTATCGACTACGAGATCTTGTTCAAATCTTTGCCTCGCATGATGATCTGAAACCATATATATTTAAAGGTCGTGTCTTTCGTGGTATGCATTTGACACAAGAAGAATTAGAGGCATACGAAATGCCACTGAAAAGAAAAATAATCA